GTAACTATGTATATATGTACATATGTTACGATAACACACCTTTATTTCATGGCATGACTTTCGTATACTGGGGATTGCGCGGGACGTGCTAAGGCATATGAGAACCCTAAAATGCCAACATAAACAATTTCGGTCATTCAACGTGGAAAGAAGATATGTGTAAATGTGTTCTGCTAATATATCGTACTGTGAGAGTAGAACCTTCTTTACTCTTCCCAACTGAAGCCTACTAATGTTTGTCGTGCCACAATGGCAGAATGGTACCTTCAATTACATATTTATTTACTAAAAGCACATACAATACACTTGTACATACATCCGTAGATATGTACATACTTAACTAAGAATAATAATAGCAATTTGTTCTATAGTAAACTCGCATGTAGCCGTGAAAGCGGCAGTTAAACAAGTGAACACGAAACAAGTAAATATAAAATATAATAGTGAAACTGGAGAGAAAACAAAATCGACGAAACAAAAAATGACACACAAATGGAGCTCCTTATACACATAAATTAATATATGGGTCTATTTGCACATGTGCTCTTAAATAAACGCTGACCAGCCATGTCACATATCCATGTATGTATGTACGTACTTATGGCTGTAATTGCATGCATATGCTCAGAACCGAAATGAGCATTTTGGCTAAAAATGCTAAACGACAATTACAATTGCAACAAAAACAATATGAGTTGCCTCGACATCGAACGCAACGACGAAAAATGTCAGAAAGACCAAAAAACTGCGGAACGACCAAAGCGAAATTCGATTTCAATCAGCTAAATGCTGTAAAAAACAAAAAAAATGTTATCTTCGGTTACACCTATACAGCTATAATACACTTCACAAATAATAAAATTTCCTTACAAGATCTTTATTTTGATCGTTTAGTTTGTATGGAAGCTGTATGCTATAGTGATCCGATCTGCAAAGTTTCTTCAGAGAATCAATAATCCATTTCTTGAATATAACTAGTCAAATAAAAAACTTTTTCACACAATAGCTTCGTATAGCAGTTATATGCTATAGTGGTCGGATATCGGCGGTTCCGACAATAAAGCAGCTTCTTTGGGAAAAAAGGCAGTGTGCAAAATTTAAGAGCGATATCTTAAAAACTGAGGGATTAGTTCGCGTGTACTTATATACACAGATGGACGGACACGCGGACATGGCTAAGTAGCTTGTCACGCTGATCATTTGTATATACATATATATATTTTTAGGAGGGTCTCAGACGCTTCCCTCAGGGTATTACAAACTTCGTAGCGAACTTATTAGGAAAAAGGAATCAACTTTCTCTCTTTCAGGCTTTACTAAACATGTAATCGAATGCATTAATATTTTAATGATATTTTGATACAAAACAGAGGCTTTTAGGTCAATCTACGAGAGGGCCCCTACACCGTTCTAGTAGCTGAAAAGCAAAAAGTTCGCTTTGACTTAAATAAATGACGTGCAAAGAAAATTTATTATACTTTACTTCAAACGGAGGAACGAAAAACCTTTCAAATATATACTGTAAAACACAATATTATGATTTAGTCAAATAAAATAGATAACTTGAATTACTCGAAGGACCAACTCAACTATTTAGATCAAAGTACGCAACATGGATGGACCTATCCACTTCTTATGGGCATGACCTTTAAAATAGGCGAAATTTTACCAATACCGTTTCCTCTTTCTATATAATAGGTTTTGAAACATATTAGCAAATTGGGCTTTACAATCAATACCTGATATGTTGACCCATATTATTACCTAGCACCCACATTGAGAATATAATAATTTCTCGCGCTTTAGCTGACCACAAACTGTATAAGTGGGTGTGTTAGATATCTTATAAAAATCAGGGCGAAGAATTTTGCTTAGCATATCCTGAATGTAGTAAAATAGATATATACTGTCATACATATCTTCTTTCAAAACTCACGTGTTGAATAACTGATTTCCTGATGGTTATTTTATGAAATCGTGCAATCTGAGAAAATATAAAAAAATTGGATCGTAATTTACATACATTTTTCAAAGAATTTCGGAACTGTAAAATAATTTTCGCACAAAAAAAAACATTTAAAAAATTTCTATAAAAGAAAGTTGCAGTAATAACAAAAAAGTCTACATAGTTTAATAAAGTACAAATTCAAGTGGATACATACTTGTATGATAGTCTCCGAGTACCATCGTCGCCCGATTTGAAAAATACAGTCTCGAGAAAAACGCGTTTAAAGGTTTATGTACCGAAGCTAATAGATCCAAACAACTTCTTGTTTAGGCCCATAATACATATACAAACGTTAAGGCAAAAGTTTGCAATTTTTTAAAAATCCCAGACCAATCAAAACATATATTTTTTTTATTTATTAATAATTTTCGCATCCTAACCCACTGTGCAGCCGCAAGCCAGATTCAAAACTTGCCAAAATACAAGGGGAAATAAAGCTCTGTTCTGTGTTGGAATTTCGGTGTCGATTAAAAACAGGTACGAACCAAATTGCAGAACATTCACACACACACATATATATATTCATATTTTTATATATGGATCAACACTTTTGTATATGAGTTTAACCGAATTCTTCGGCCAACTCGCAATACAACACAGTTCAATTGCTTCGCCGGTGCAGCGGTGAATGTATCGACTTAATTTTTTGTACCTGTGTATATTCGTTTGTGCGTATATTTGTATATACGCGCTTGTGTGTGTGCATATACAGGTATTTTGGCTTAAATTTGGTTTGGTTCAGTTTGTCTTTTCGAATATTGAATTTCGTGCCCAAATTGCTTAACGCTGCAATGACAACAGCAACAAAATCGTTACACGACACAAAAAAGCTGCACCAAAAAAACAAAAAAAAAAGTTAATAAGCCAACGGGCCGCCATCAGGTTTATGACTAATCAATATCGTTTGATTTCTGCGTACAACTACCTGAATGTGCACACATCCATCGATGTATACGAGTATGTAGTAATATATGCGTAAGTAGTATACATATGCTTATATGTAAGCACAGAAGTGTTATTTTGTATTCAAAATAGGCTTGCTTACATGTACTTAAGTATATACGAGTATTATAATATATAGACTATGTATGCGTGTGTAATAATATATATTTGGTAATATGTTTAAACATTTTACTTCTATCGTTTGCTTTCCACTGTTACCTTTTACCTTTTATTCCTTCAAAGCCACAATGCACAAGCGTTTATGCTTCGGTTAATTAAATTAAAGTGCAAAGTGTAAGAAGTTGCATTTCTCTGCAGCGAAATTTGCGACAATAGTTACTTCTGCGACTACCGCAAAAATACTAATATTTTTTTATGTACATATGTACATACATACTATCCTTACTATATATACCATATGTGTATTATTTCGTTTTTAATTAATTTCAGCCACTGTAGAATCGTAAAGCGTAGAGTTTTTGAAAAATTGACATATTTATTAGGTAGCTATGTCAAATTTTATGGCATAACGGAGTTTATAAGCAATATAATAAAATTTTAATGAATATACCGGGTGCGTCATCTTTTATATCGATAAGTAAAGATTGAAAAACTTTGAAAAGTGTGAGATATTTTGCTGTGAATATCTAATTCTAATGACTAGAAATTTTTTGGATGATTTTTTACATGACGACCAATTTTGCATGATACTAAATAAATGAGCGTTGGAAATGTTTGGTTATAAATAGTGTTTCTAACCCGCTGGATCACACATATGTATGTAGGTCTAAAGACCTCTCACAAATCCTTTTCTTTAACATATAAACTACCCCTTCACAAATAAGAATAAAAGATTGTACCTGAACGGTTTCTTCAAAATTATATTAAAGAAATCTAATCGCAGGGAAATGTCCTGCCTGAAACTTTATTTAGTATAAAATTTGTAGAGATATTTGCCAATTTTATTGAGCTGTCAATTGCTATTAAAATTAGCCTCAAACTCAAACAACAAATAGATGGCGATTGACGACTCTTTTTTCTCGAGTATTTTTCAAGTTCATATTTGGTGAGGTATTCACCGACTGAAGTTATTATGAATTACTTGTATACCTAACAGTAATTCAGAGTTCTTAAAGTATTGATCCAGATAACTGAAAACAATGATTTGCATAATCTCTAAGCTCCGGTTTAAAGATCACATTAAAAAAGCTATTGTAGCATCATATAGACTTATTGATCAGTTTATGAAGATATCACTTGGCTGGTATTGGCTCGAACTCTTTTATTAATAAAAATGGATAATCGCCCTGAGAATATTATTTCTAGTAAACGTTGCCTCTGGACAATAAACGATTAATATTGAGTCATTCTAAGACTTGTAGGTCATACATTTAAATATTAATTACCTTTCCTTTTGAGTGAATGGCTAGCAATGCTCAACACTCCGATCGGTTATTATTTGATCTACTACAAACTCAATGGAAAATGGAGAGATTTTTGTAACAGTTTCTCTTTTATAGTTTTTATATCGATTGTTTTGCTGAGAGCGCTACAAAGTTTTAATGTTTTACCGTTCCGTTCACCGGAATAAGTTGGGCTAATTCTAATATAGAGTCATTGTATGAATCACTTCTTTTCATTCCGCGTTTAACTTGCTTCGTCAGTTTTTTCGACTGGGTTGTGCCCAACAACTCAACAAGCCTGCACGCGATCTCAATTTTTACTTTCCACATGTAAGCACTTCGAGATATACATACATACATTGCTACTCAACAAGTGCACACATATAAATATTTTACTGAACTCATTGAGCTTTATTATTTGCTATTACTAAAATACCATCAAACTTGTTTCAACGGGTTGATGTGTGAGTATGTAGGTATTTATATCGTTATTTTAGTGCAGTGGCTTAGCAGATAATTATTATGGAGGGGTAAAGTTTAACTTAATAGTGAATGAATTATATTACTTATATTATATATTAAAAATATGTTTGTTCATCACAATTCAAGAAAACACAAATTAATGATTTTTTTTTGTCTTTTTTAAGGTTCGCTCTTCATTAAATCGATGAAATTGTCAACTGCCATAACAGTAAGTGAGTAAATTGTAAAATAAGAACTTAATGAAAATTATGTATTATTGATGGTTATTTAAAATTATCGCAAATCCGCAAACAAAAAAAAAAATACTACCATTATATTATAATAGTCACTTAATGATCGTCTAGTAAAAATTTTGACTTTTGGCAAAATGCCAGCTTCCATTGGTCAGATCATCTTCAAATTTCCAGAGAATATTCTCAAATGCATATGCATGTATCTATTCAACAAAACATAGATTTTTTTTTAAATCATTATGGATATAACAACTTGATGAGATATTTTTCATTGTAGAAAAATATTTTAAGTATTTGATTCCTGGTTCTATGTATTCCACTAACCTCAAAATAGAGTATTTTGCAGCGATTGTCATCAATTTATCTATTGTGGTCAAACCTTTTTCAATCTCATGTTAATTCGTCTCTTCAAGATATCCTACCACCACAAAATTCAACAATTTTTCGACAAATCATCAAAATAAGGTAAAATCAGGTTGATCGACACGTTCCTATTGCTATAAGTCGAACCCAGGCATAATTAGTTAAAATCAGTTAAAATTTTAAACATTATAACATAAATTAATTTACACTCTCCTCACATGTTTAGTTGTCGTGAGATTCAAATGAAATATGAAGTCAATTTCAAACATATTTTATCAATTTTAATTGCTATTAGGGCATCCAGCCGGCTTAAGCGGACCCCTTCCTTGCTACGCCTTTTGTATGCATGACCACATGTATGTGTGCCGATTAAACATCATCTAGTCAGCACGGTCTCATATTTGTTGTTTATGAATGAATCAGACTGGAAATATGCACCGACATTGTCGCAGCAATTCTCTCTTTCGTACATTGCGTTCTTCCGTTAGTTAGTTTTGTTTAGCTATTTTCAATAATTTAGTCAGCTTGATTGGTTGGACGCGAATGTGTCATTTAATTTATTTATGTATTTCGGCCGCATTTCTTCACTCTATCCCCCTATCGGTCTGGTCTACTGATATCAATTGTTCACATGTACATAGTATGCGTACTTGTATAAATAATTTGAACAATAATAAAAAAGCGATAAAAAGAAAAAATGTAAACAAATATTTCTCAAATATTAAGTTTGCCACGAAGTTTGTAACACGCAGAAGGAAACGTCGATGAGATACATACATATTGATATAAATGATTAGAGTGACGAGCTTTATATATTATAATATTATTAGCCGAACCCAAAATTATTATTTCTTTTTATACCCTGAACAAAAAAAATTTTTTTTACGAGGTATCTTCACGAAATTAGGCACGAGTTATTGCTTAAGGCAACAAATTATTCTCCACAGAAATTGGTCAGATCAGATCACTATATCATATAGCTGCCATACAAATTGAACGTTCGGAATCAAGTTCTTGTAAGGGGCCTTTGTATTTGTGAAGAGTATTATAGCTTCGGCGCATCCGAAGTTAACGTTTTTTCTTGTTTTCAATTTACATAAATACCAACATTATTTGCAGAAATAAGAATATTATAGTATTTTAGGGTAAAAATATTACGACTATTCAAACTATCCTCGTAAGATAAAGTATAGAATAAATTATCATTTGCAACACTCATGGTTCAACAGGTACTCACGTGTTTCATGGCTGTATGTTGACATACCTACATATATGTTTTCCTATAAAACTTTATTATGCTTACATAAGTATGTATATATTTACATACTTACATGTGTATATGATGTGTAGTATGTGTATACAAGTATACAGCAGAGGAGTGTAACTGTTTCCGCTTTCAATTCAACCGACAGATATGGTACACTTGCCATCACACTTTTGACTTAGATAACTAATTGTTTAAATTTCATATACATACATACTGTCATGTCATGCGTATACCAGATATGGGTATTAAATAAAGTTTTATTGAATCTATACCATATTGCCTAAATGTCTTGGGCCTGACAATTTGGCCTAATTTCGATCACGACGTCCAAACGATTAACGTAGCTTCGTTCTATAATACCCGTTGTTTAACCTATTGAAAATCAATGGTGTTTTAGATGGTAGTTTTTTGGGCCCCATTGCAACGGTGTGTGTATTAGTACAAGTATATCTTAGAGAACCCTAACAGTTTTAAATTTGGCTAATTTGTATACCCATTCTATTGAGATAACAGATATTACGCCCTCTACAGTTTGGTATGAGTTAGCAGAACCAAGAACTGTCAAATCACATGTCTGCGTCTGGTAGTCTGATATAAAAAATATAGTTTACAGGAATTTTATCGAGCTGGAAGGCTCTTTTTAACAGTTCACAGATTTTCAGTATTGACAGATATGTATTTTCATTCAAAGATATTAATTAATATAGCCTTTGGACTTGAAGCCACACAAGAAAAGGTTTGTAAATAGACGATATTGCCAGTCGATATTGCAATAACTTCGTGTATAATTGGAATTTGAAGAGAATCTTTTCCTTATTATGTTTGTATGTCAAAATTGGATTGAAACAGGTCAATACTTCTCTCAGCCCGCATATACCTAATATAATAATTTTCGAACTTCCGGTTGACTTTATACCGCATTTATCGGCCAATATGTGAGTTATCTTAACAGGCTTGAGTGGGCATATTTTCCTAATAACGGTGTACTGTGTGCCTAAAATTGATTAAATCGGGTGAAATTTTGCCCAGCGCCCATGTAACTAATATCTGGATTTTTAAACTTCCGGTTGTTTTTATTCCTTCTATATTGGTTATGGTATGCGAGGTACTTAAATGAAACTCAGAGAGTATTTTTTCCGTTAGCAATATGTAGTAATGCATAAAATGATTTTTATTACTTTTACAAACCATATGTAGAATATATCGGTCAGTGTGTGAGTTATTGAAAAATGTTCTCGAGTATACCTTAACAATGTCAAAGGTAATGCAACACTCTGCCTCCCCTGTATAGTGATGTGCAACTTTCCAACTTACCATAAAAAGTTAATGTTGGTTAATATTTTAATGAAATTAAGTGAACAAGTTTTCTTAAAAATTATAAAATTATATTAATGATTTAGCACTGAAACTTTGGTATAAACCTCATATCTCTAATATAATGAATTCCCATTCTCTGGTTGACGTTTTCCACATTATCTCAATAAATTAAATCGGGTTGAGTTTATCATATATCTTATATATCACATTTGTCTAGAGTCTATTACCTATAATATAACTTAATAAAATTCCAAATTTGATTATCATCCAGTCAGGATTTCGTCGAATAATGAATGTTGAACTTGTTCTTTCGCAACACTTTTCATTCTCCATTTCGCCGGCTTTGACCCCTGCAACTCGCAAGACTATAAAATGTTACACGGTTACACCCGAACTTAATATAAACTTAAATATTTAAAGTTTATTGAAAAGTTTTGCATACTTGCAGGCGGCTTTGTTCAATCAATAAGCGCTTTTATACTTAGCTCCTTTGAATAAATCAAATTGACAAATTACCTTGCGCACAATAAATTATAAAAAAAATAAATATTACGGGAAAATTATTCTTTGCTCTTTGATAAGCTAATTGCACATTCACAGTTACGGTATAATTGTATACTTTTTGACGGAATCTTGAGAATGTTAATAGCTACAATCTAATCTTTGCCAATAATAATAAATCGATCAGCCGTCTGTTATCACTTCCCGATACCAAGTGGAACAACTGGCAATTCGGCTGTTACATAGTTCACAAACACAGATTGGTTGTTGTAGCACATTCATGTATTTTTATTTGATATTTCCATGTCTACATGTATGCTTCTACATATAACATTCGTATATACTTCTAGAATAATAATAACTAAATGGGAACAAGAAATGCTTGGCATATAAAAATAGCTAAATATATTCACTAAATATACACATATATGTATATGTGTTTTCGGCATTAACTGGAGTAATTTGTGCTCTAGTCGATGGAATTTCCGTTCGGCACCATGACCTTGATCATGCCCGGCAATATTTCACCTTGCAGCGGTCCATAGTCCACACGTTCGCCATCCACCACCATAATGCCCTCTCTATCGGCACTCGGTTCGATGCGAAAAGCGCGTACCGGCACCACTTCAATATACTTATTCGGCTCCTTCGGCAGGTGTGTGCCTGAACTCATGGCGAGTAGAAATTGCGCCAACTGCGAACGTCCGACACCGCTACGTATTATAACGAGATAGATGATGCCATCGTTGAGACGTGAATCAGGCGCAAAGAAGCAATCTGTGGACAGATGGGTGGTATAGGCTGCATGAACCATAACATATTCGCCTTCCTCGGTGTGCCAAATATCTGTAGGCACTGGCAAATCCAGTGACGGTATTGTGGTTGGTGGACGACGACTTTCGTATTCCACATTGATCGATTCGAGGCGACTGAGTACGCTTCGACGTGTGCGTAAGCTTTGATCGTTAAGCGAGAAGTAAGCTGTGCGTTTCGAGACAGCCGAATGCCAGCTATCAACGTTGGAATGGAAGCTCGTACGATCCAGCGATATGGCATCACCAAAGTCATCGTCTTGGTTGGTGTTAGTAGTCGTTGGGTGGAAATCATCTTCCTTAGTGCCCACCGGGGGATTTGGTATATCATAGAATTCCTGTACTTCTGGTGGCAAACGACGTTCTTCATTGGACACCGTGGAAACGCGAGTACCAAAAGTCTTACGGCCATCCTTACGTTCAGAACGTATATATGACAATCGGCCTTTATAGGTGCGCAAGCTAATCAGCCGTCGTATGGACCAAAAAGTAAAACGTGATGCACCGATTGAACGCAAACGTTCACTCTCGATATCAACATCAGCGATTAGACCCCAACCGACAGATAAAAATGAGTACAGCTCGCAAGCCTTACCCTCTGTGCCAGTATCGATGCGCACCAGATCCATCGGCGCCATCTTGCCAGCAATGCATGTCAATGTAGCATACAATATGGGCTTCGGTTCATATGGCTCCTTATATAGATACGCAATACTGCGCGCTAAACCATTACCCGAACCGCAGGGTACAATGCCAAGCGGCAATTGTCGTGTAATTGCGCGCCAATCCTCACGTTCCATTATGCCGTTCAACACTTCGAAGAAGAGTCCATCACCTGATCCGACCACAATGCCACTATAACTGCTCAAGAGATCGTTGTGTTTGCGCACATACTCACGGGCGAAATTATGATGTGCAGTTACATGCAATTCATACGGCACATCTGCTTCCTTCAGCACAGGCGCCATTTGTTTGTGGAACATTTCACGTCCCTTACCTGAACCGGATTTGGGATTTAGAAAAATCAGCAATTGTTTCTCGACCGTTTCATTCTTAAGAGAAGCTTTATTAATGCGTATCGCATGATGCCAACGTTCGGCCACCTTCAAGTTCTCCTCGTACGTATCGAAGGAACGGAAACGTATTATGCGCACGGTGCGCTCACGCCGCATCGAACTCTTCTCGTTCTTTATGTACGCGTATATATGTAAATAAGCGCTAATGTCCTTTTGTGTTGCCTGATCTACTTCGGATTCTTCATATATGCGGCGACAAGAGGATAAAGCGCCGCGATTAGTCTTCTTCAAACACGGCCCACAACTACTGCCTATAATATCCTCCATACGTATACGTTGCTCGTTGATTTCATCTATTCCACCGGTTTCCCTGCGCAAATATATACCTTCGGCATTTAGTTTTACCTCGACCGTTATGGGCGCTTTCTGGTTGTTGTTGATGTAAAAATGTTCGCTTAGCTCGATAACACCAGTGGGCGAGATTTTCGCTACGCTGGACGTGGGTGTCAACGGACTGCTCACAGTACTGGCAGCCGTATCGTCGTACACGAAATTCGTGTCAGCCAAATCGAGTGACATATTCCGGCAAGGATTCATAATGGTACAAAAGGATTTGCACGGATCTTTTAACAATTTTCTTTTGCGCATGTAGCGTAGTTGCTAGCTAAATGGGTTGTATAGTTCGTTTAGTTTGCTTTATTGGATGATTCTTCTGCGCTTCTTGAATTTACTTCAATCAATGCTTAAGTAATTCATTTAATTATTCACAATATTTAACAGTCTTTTTGCGTGCTCTTTTCGAGTTTGCGCTACACTCACTTTGCACTTTGTTCGCTGCTTTGTTACCTGCGAGGTTGGCACACAGCACAACACCGTAATCCACCGATTTACATTACGAACTAACACCTGTGCTGAAAGTTCACAATTTGCCGATAGAAATATTTTTTATCAGTTTGTTTTCTTTTATTTTTGGTTTTTTGTGTTTGTTAATTTTTACTACCGCCTAGTTACGATTCTTGATATTTTTTCTCCAAATCTAATCAAATGAAACGGAACCGTTATATATGTGCTGTATGTATTCTTTATCTAACGCTAGCTTGGCACACCGTAGTCTGATAAGATTTGCCTCGTTGGCCGTCTTTTGTTGTTTGACCACCAAAACGCCAACATGCTCTTCTCAAATTTAGAGCGTCGCGTTACCGCTATTTTCTGCTGTTATACATACAATTGTATGTTGGTTGTGACACTCTTCGTTGCGCTCTATGCGCTGCCAATAATAGTTAATCTTTAATTTACTATTTACCACTGTCTTCTGCACCATTATTTTCGTCTACCTTTCAACTTTTACTCTTTCACTTTGTGCTCGTTTGTATTTATCATTTATATATCCCCAGTGATTTCCGTATAATACCCGTTTATCTGTGAGCCAGTCAACCTGCCAGCCAGCTTACCTTCGTCTGTTGAAGCGTTGCTGATCTTATACGGCAGTAAACATATGCGGACCCTCGGAGCGTAGCTTTTTCCAATGTGTGATTTGTTCAATGTTTCACGCTAATATAAAGCTCGTAGTTTTTTGTTGTTAACTTTTTGTTTATCGCAACGCAATTTTATTGTGCTGTTGTTGTTCACTCATAACTTGAGAGCGCAAGCGTTATTGTGTTGTACACTCCGTTTCAAATGATTAGAAACAGGAGTAGAAACGGTATACGACTCCGCAAAGCTCTTTAGAATTCCTAGACCATAGACAGCCAGTGTTTACATCGATAAGTCACTATGATATGCATGTGCTTGAACCATGATCAATCAACAATTACATTATGTATTTGCGATGAGAAAATCATGGAATTTGGTTATAGTAGAATACGTCGCATTGAGAGAGAGAGATAGAGAGAGAGAGCGATTGAAAAAAGCAATTTTGTGTTTAGATAGAAACTTTATTTCTTCCAGGCATGCTCAAAAAACTGTCAGTATTTTTTTTCAGTTAAGCTCAACAAATAAATACATTATCAACCAGCTTATCTGAGCTCTAGTCTATATGCAGATTTGTCTCCTTTTTTACGAGGTTAGTGTGAAACTTTAATCCCTTATGTACAAAACCCTCCCATCCGTCAACTATTACGTTGAGCGGCGCTTTGAGCAAAGCTCATACGTGAAGGAAAGGATGATTTTAGTAAAAAGATGTAATTTATATACCCCTTTGATTTTACATTCCTCTTCTTCGCTGTCGTTTCTCTGAAATTTCGGGTGTCTGAACCATCTGCTTTTTGGGGTTGATTGTGCACTAACCTGAATATGTTCGACAATGTGAGAGCTATCAAAGCAGTTTGTATCAAAAACTTTATTATTAATCCTCTCTTCTTGCAAAAGTTTATTTTCACATCAACGTCTCAGAGCGTCACGCTGATCATTTTTATACACACATATACATAGAAGTATATTATAGACGTTTCTTTCTGGGTGTTACAATCTTCGTGCCAAACTTAATATATCTTGCTCAGGATATTAAAACACTGATCAGAGGTCTCAGATTCTAACTTAGAAAGCAATTACTTGCTTTGAACTATCGCTCCTCAAACAAAAGTGTTCAGAGGTTTCTAAGCAGCGGTTACATGACTTCGGATTGTGAATGAAATAGGGAAATGAAGAGGTAGGGACAAGGGGAGAAATTGTGGAAAATAACTACTGCTACACAACTATTGGTCTTTGAAGTTTAGTAAGCTACCTCAAATACCTATTGCAAATTGTTTTAATGACAATAGTATCCTAACATGTAGGCCTACGAACATAAGGTCATCTACTGGACGCATCACGTGTTTTGTCAAACATGATTTTTTGAGTTTTTCGGTCTTTATCTAAAAATTCTAGATAACAATTGTTGTCTCCGTAAGCCGTCTAAATGAATTAACCCTTTCTTAAGATCCAAAGTTAATCTGCATACTTTATGAAAAAAAAAATTATATATTTTTCTTCTCTACTTCTTTCTTCTTTTTTAAAAAAAATCTAAAAGCGTTTTTAAAATTGTTATTGAAGCTATCGATCTTATTCATATATACTGATGTGTACTTGTCGACACTTTTCTCCATCAAAATCGAATTGAGTTATTACTCGTGGTTTGAGTTAAGGTGTTTGCCATCATTTGATGACTCGATCGTCTCTGTGTCGCTTATTTTCTATTTAGACACGGCTACATGTGTGTGTGCTGTTTTGAAACGCGAGTACTTTTGAGCAAGCATGAGTATTGTTTGTATTGACTTTTAACTGGAATAATAATTCGAGTGCCGGAGTGTAAATACATATGCACATACTTATTGGACGGCACTCATGGCTTAATGGGTTCTTTCGGTTAAGGTCGCCGATAAATACACAAAGCTGTTTGAATGTCCACATATAATATATTAATATATAAATATGTATGCGGCCATTTAGTTATGGGTAAAATTTTATTTAAAGTAGTACGACGCTGTAAGAACAAAGAGAATTGAGTTTCAAGCGAAGAAAGTTTTTGACTGTAGAAGTGAAGTTTGCAATGATTCATTTTTTAATAAAAGAATATTTCTTTTTAATTTTCGGTAATTGAATGTATTTAATCAAAAATTAATAATTGTAGTGTAAAAAATTTACTTTTTATGGGATCCCTTTTTTATTTTTTTGCTCTTAAATAATACTATTTAATTACGCCTCACGAAAGAGTTAACGATTGTTTAGAAAACGCTAACACTACGACATCTTACATCAACATACATTTTTCAAACGAGAACCTCTGATACGAATATTATAAAGAAACCAACCGGCTTTCCTTTGTGTTCAAAATAATTCCGTGACGTTAATAAACATTAATCACTGCTAGGAAAATTATGTATTTCGAACGGCATTGCGTCGTCCAAACAAATTGGTGTTATTATAAATGTTTGATTTTCACATCATTGTTTTCGCTCCATTTTACTTATGATCTTTTTTGAAAAACTATTTTCCCATAGGTTTATATGAATATAGAAAACTTTCGTTATATATTACTATAAATTTGAAAAGTAAACATTTTTCTCCTCTTTATTAATAATAAATTACTTGACCAATTCTTGTTCAATTTCAGAGAACAATTTAGCATAAAAAAATAATGAAATCCAAAAATTAATACAAAAAAAATTTTAGACAACATTTTCTTTGGAAAAAAATGTATCATTATTATAATTTATGTACTTCTCTAACTAACTGGTAAGATCTGGACTGCATGGCGGATAATAAATTTTGCTAAAGAGGTGTGTGAATGCTTGCACATTTAGATTTCCTAGACCATGTATTCAAAATTACAGTCAAATAAATGCTAGTTATCACTCAGTAAAAACAAAAAAAGTTATATTGCCATTGTATTCACAGTCCACATATTTATTTTTCTATGGAGCATATCATTATACTCTCGCAACCTGTTGCTACAGAGTATAATAGTTTTGTTCACCTAACGGTTGTTTGTATCACCTAAAACTAATCGAGTTAGATATAGGGTTATATATATATAAATGATCAGGATGAAGAGACGAGTTGAAATCCGGGTGACTGTCTGTCCGTCCGTCCGTCCGTGCAAGCTCTAACTTGAGTAAAAATTGAGATATCTTTATGAAACTTGGTAGACATGTTTCTTGGTACCGTGAGACGGTTGGTATTGCAGATGGGCGTAATCGGACCACTGCCACGCCCACAAAACGCCATTAATCAAAAACAAATAACTTGCCATAACTAAGCTCCGCAATAAGATACAAGACTGTTATTTGGTACACAGGATCACATTAGGGAGGGGCATCTGCAGTTAGATGTTTTTTTTTAAAAGTGGGCGTGGTCCCGCCTCTAATAGGTTTAATGTGCATATCTCCTAAACCGCTAATGCTATAATAACAAAATTCGCTAGAAGCAAATGTTTTTAGCACTTCTATTGACGGTGTGAAAATAGTTGAAATCGGGTGGCAACTCCGCCCACTCCCCATATAACGGTACTGTTAAAAACTACTAAAAGCGCGATAAATCAATCACTAAACACGCCAAAGATATTAAATTTTATCTCTGGGATGGTATGAGATGACTTTATAGGAACCGCGTTGAAAATTGGGCAGTGGGCGTGGCACCGCCCACTTTTAGGTGAAAACCCATATCTTGAGATCTGCTTAACCGATTTCAACCAAATTCGGTGCATAACGTTCTTTTCATGTTTCTATGTCATAGTGCGAAATGGGCGAAATCGGACTACAACCACGCCTACTTCCCATATAACACCATTTTCAATTCCATCTGATTCTTTCACTTTCCACTATGCAAATCAGGTAACAATGATTATATCGGGGTAAAACTTTGCGTGAATAATGCCATTAAAGTATGCCACCTTGCGGCCAAAAATTGTCTAAATCGAACCGAAACTGTTCAAACCCCTAAGTACTAAATATGTGGACCCCAGTGCCTATAGTTGACCTTCTACCGAAAATATCAGCCAATCCACAAAGAAATCTCAAACGAGTATACCATTTGACTTTGCGAGAGTATAAAATGTTTGGTTACATCCGAACTTAGCCCTTCCTTACTTGTTTTTATTTAATTCGTTTCATTTTAATTCAAATTATTGATGAGCCTTATTTCAATAGCAACTCAATTAGACCTAATATTTTGGCAATTTTAAAAATTTGTAAAATATATAGTTAATATTTTATAAACGGTATATAGGAAATATATAAATAATACTGTTATAAATTCTATTCGACCTTGAAACAATATATAGAAAACACGTTGCTAGAAATATATCAGAAAGAGAAACAAATCGGCGTAACTATAAGGAAATATTAAATATTTCTCCTCATATTTATACGCTTGTTAAATAGTATGTCGGTAAATGTTTCTAAAATATACACACAAATGTATATGAATATACAATATATATACAATGTATATGTATGTATATTTGTTATCATTAAATATTACATGGCAAATCTCACATTCGAGTTCAATGTTTCTAAGTGATTAAGTAATTTTTTTCTACATATATATATAATTATTAGTATAAACAGAAGAGTGGGGATATATATGTGTCACTCTCTACAATTTTCTGAATGAAACTTAAGTTGTTTGCATTAAATAAATAGTCATAAATTTAATATGAATGGGTTTATGCACGTGCATAATATATATAGGTGTAAGAAAATTTGTTAATTATTGTTATTGTTTTCAATTTGTTTTATTGTAAAAAAATTAGTATTTAAGTTCTCCTACCTATACATATTATAGAAGATCGTCAGAGCTGGGCGATCAAATTATTATAATGTTTAACTTTTTATATTCGTTCAGTTTCTAGAACCCACCGAATTGTGCTGTTACTTACCAATGTGATTTTAATTGAAAGAGCATATGCCACATAAGGAATGTTACTGTACGTAACAGTTCATTCAAAGAGACAATAGGATGATACATTGATTGAATGACCTGTTATTGTTTCACCTGAAATCTGATAGTTCCTGTAGCTTTTTAGTGACTGTGTTCTATTTATTATTGTCTTAGAAGTCATGCAAAATGGTCCACCAGACAGAATCACAGTCAATTAATTAAAAATGGATTCGAGTCAAGTTTTTGGATTTTAGACAAATCAGATTTTTTTAGTAACATGTATAATTGAACTTAATCACACCACAGTTAGTGTAGAGACCTTCGTCAAAAAAGTGATATATTAGTAAAATATTTTAGATTTCCGAAGTAGTTTCAATCATTTAATTCC